AGAGCCGGCGGAGGCGACGGAGCCGGCGGAGGTGACGGAGGCGGCAGAGCCGGCGGAGGCGACGGAGCAGGTGGAGGTGACGGAGCCGGCGGTGGAGGTGACGGAGGCGACGGAGCCGGCGGCGACGGAGGCGACGGAGCCGGCGGTGACGGAGGCGACGGAGGCGACGGAGCAGGTGCAGGTAACGGAGGCGACGGAGCCGACGGAGGTGACAGAGATGCTTGAGACGACGAAGCCGGCGGTGGCGACGGAGCCGGCGCAGGCGATGGAGCCGGCGGAGGTGGTGGAGCCGGCGCAGGCGGCTGAGGTGGCGGAGGTGAAGGAGCTGGCGGAAGTCACGGAGCCGGAGGAGACGGCGGTGGCGACGGCGGCGGCAGAGGTGATGGAGTCGGCAGCGGCGACGGAGCCGGCGGAAGTGACGGAGACGGCGGAAGTGACGGAGCCGGCGGAGGTGACGGAGCCGGCGGAAGTGACGGAGCCGGCGGAGGTGACGGAGCCGGCGGAGGTGACGGAGCCGGCGGAGGTGACGGAGACGGCGGAGGTGACGGAGCCGGCGGAGGTGACGGAGCCGGCGGAGGTGACGGAGCCGGCGGAGGTGACGGAGCCGGCGGAGGTGGCGGAAGTGACAGAGCCGGCGGAGGTGGCGGAGGTGACGGAGCCGGCGGAGGTGGCGGAGGTGACGGAGCCGGCGGAGGCGACGGAGCCGGCGGAGGTGGTGGAGGTGACGGAGCCGGCGGAGGTGACGGAGGCGACGGAGGTGACGGAGCCGGCAGCGGCGACGGAGCCGGCAGCGGCGACGGAGCCGGCAGCGACGACGGAGTCGGCGGAGGTGACGGAGCCGGCAGCGACGACGGAGTCGGCGGAGGTGACGGAGCCGGCAGCGACGACGGAGTCGGCGGAGGTGACGGAGGCGACAGAGCCGGCGGAGGCGACGGAGCCGGCGGAGACGGCGGAGGCGACGGAGCCGGCGGAGGTGACGGAGACGGCGGAGGCGACGGAGACGGCGGAGGCGACGGAGCCGGCGGAGGTGACGGAGCCGGCAGTTGTCGTGGTGGCGGAGGAGCCGGAGGTGGCGGGAGCTCTTGAAGCGGCGGTCATTAAGGACAGCGCGCCAATGTCGCCCGTGACGCCGCCGGTGCTGGCAATCGTCACGGAGCCGTCGCCCACTTCCGAAGGGACGGAGCTGGCGGAAACTGCCGCGGTGGGACGCCGCGGCGGCGACCGCAGCTGTTGTTGGTGCGGCCGCGGCGACGACGGAGGAGCCGGTTGTAGTTGACGGAAAGGAACTTGCTGCTGCTGCTGCTGCTGCTGCTGCTGCTGCTGCTGCTTTCTTAGCGCCCCGGCAACCTGGTACGGATGCGTCCGTAAGGCTGGCGGGTCAAGAGCCCGGAGCTGCTGAAGTCGCGGCGGCGGTCGCTGCCACCACATCCGCTGCCGCCGCCACCGCTGCTGCTGAGGAGAAGGTGGTTGGCGCGGTTGAGGTGGTGCCGCCGGCTACGCCGGCGGCAGAGCGTGCCGCGGCCGCGGCGGAGGAGGAAGGCGTGGAGGAGGAAGGGGATGACGAGCAGCTGATGGCGGCGTCATCGGGCCCTTCTAGCAGCGCCGCGACGGCGACGACGACGCCGGGCGGATCGAAGCGAAGGAAGAGCCGCGGCGGCAAGAACAAGAAAAAAAAGTAAAGATATGCGCTCCCTTTTAGCGCGCGGAGGGTCCCGATCCCAGATAAATACATCTCCTCTTTCTTTCGAGAAAATTCCGTCCTTCCTTCCTGAGTTGCTGGAGCGCGGATGCTTCTTAGTTTGTTTTTCAAGTTCGGTTTTAGCATTAGGCATAAAATTAGGGTTTCAGTTTGTTAGGTTGTGAGTGTAGGATTTGCTAGGTTTTCGCTTCGGGGCGGCTCAAGAGGTGTTTTTTCTGTCAGGGGTCGGGATCGAACTGGGGTTGTGAGAGAGCGGGGATGAGCCGCCTAGGCCGATCCTGGCCGACATTGGGCTGGTATGTTTTTTCTTCGCAGGTGGCCTGGCCTTGCTACAGTTTTGGCTGCAGGTGGTCTTGCTGCACTACGGTTTTGGCTGTAAGGCATGTGGTCTTGCCGTACTACAGTTGGGTCTGGAAGGCAGGTGGTCTTGCCGTACTACAGTTGGGACTGTACGGCTGTCTGACTAGATCTCCCCACGACTGACAGTTGAAGCTATTGAAGGTATTGGGCGCATACTGCATTATTGCTGTGATAAGCAAAAGTAGCTAAGTCTCTTTTTTCCTTCAACGGCTCGGCGGCTATGCCACCATTATTGTCGATGCCAATCTCTTTACGACTGAGGAAAAGCGCTGCTTGCGAAATAGCATATCGCGCACTCGCCTTCTCGAGCCTCTTAGTCTCATGCCAGGTCTCTAATACGCGTCGGCAAAATCTGTTGGCGCTCTGCCTTATGGCTGCTTTTTAAAAAATCTTGGATCTTGGATTTTGCCTGGGAGAAGATCACCGCGCTTAAAGTAGGATGCGCGCATCTTCAGCGTTGAGATTTGAAAATCCACCAGCTGTGATTGTCTGCCCTTGGACCTTTAGATCTTGGATCTTAAGTTTTGATTTGCGGGATATCTTCATCTCTTCAGCTTTTATGCTTCTATTCCTTTGTATTTCCTTTGTTTCTAGGTTTCTTTTAGGCGCCTTGAGGACGAAGTGCGGGGATCTTCCTTTACTTTATGTAAGGGGAGATGGCAAGTTGTAATCGTACTGTGTGAACTCTGTCTTTCCTTTCCTTCGTTGGCATTTTTTTTGATCCTCCTGATGCTCTCAACCGAAATGTGGAGCTGCAACTCATTTTCGGTCGTTGGCGGTTGATTAATTCGTTGCATCGACCGTTTCGTGCAATCGTAATCGCACTCGCGGAAGCACGCCCATGCTTGTACAGGGGTAGGGTGAGATATCGAGCAAAAGATAGGAGAATTGGCAGAATGAGCAGCAGTATTGGCTTCCGCAGGTCGGCGCAGTGTTGTGGGACGCAGTCGTGGCTTTCTTCCGCTTATGGATGTTTGTTGCCTCCCTTTCGGTGAGTGATTAGGAGAACCGGCGGCACACGGCGGCGAAGCTGCCGTACAAACTGGAGGCCTTGCAGCGCCGGAAGACGTGCGCTGCTCCTATCGCACTCCGAAACCTGACCTGAAGAAGGTCGCGATGAAAACCCTAGGTGGGATAAGAAGGCTCGGTTGTGTTGCAACGGATAGCAGGCCATAAGGCTCTGTATGACGTTTGTGCCGTAAATGGTTCGGCCGGCCCGTCGTGCGGTTTTCTAATCTGTTTTATAGAGGTCTCCGCATTCCAAGTGGACTGGCTTTCGAGGATTTGGTGGTTGGTTGGTTGATCGGTCAGTTAGCGTCAGTTGGCTGGCTGGCTGGTTGGCTGATGATGAAAAGGACCGCAGGAAGCCGCGAGTTCGTATCCCCATGGAGCTTGAGACCATGGAGAGCGGTATCAAAGGAGAGAGGTTGCGGAGGCGCAAGCTGGGCTGTAAAAAAGTCCTTTTACAGTCGAAGGAAATGAGCGAGGGTTTTCCCTTTTGCGAATTGGCGACGTGGACGAGGCAGAGTTTAGTGAAATATATTATGTTTAAAAGGCTGTGCGACCGGATTATTTATCTTTACTTGTCCTGTTATTACGTGAAATAGATGTAATAGATGTAATCCCGTGCTGATGTCCGTACACCTCGGATGGCAGTGTACGCTGTTGCGGTGGCTATAAGTCCGTCTGACGCCTTCCCCGATAGATCGCCGCGACAGAAGACACCGCTTTGTGCGATCCTCTTCGTGCGATCCTCTTCACTTTTCTTGAACGAGCGCTTCCTAACATCCGCGAAAAGCACAAACACGGCAAAAGCCCATACCTTCATTCCGTCCTCCCATAGCTATAGGGCCACATTGCCCGGAAAGAACTTTACAAATTTTTACAAAGCTATAGAACTTTTAAAACCCTAAATCCCCCCAATATCTCAGAACCATTTAACTCAGAAAACCGTCCGGTGTCAAAAAAAACACAACAACTGTAAAATCTGCCCCCTCGCGCGTTCGTTCCCGCGCGCCGTCACTAAGGTGTGCCGCCCTGCTCACAGGGAGCGAATCGATCAAAGACGCGCACTACACAGAGATCTCGCCCAAACACCCCCTTCCCCCCTCCACACACACACGCACAGTAAATATAAATATATTTTAACATACGGCATGATGGAACGGGGTGCACAGGGTGCCTCGTTTGCGAGCTGCGTTTTATATCCAAGGGCGACCACTGCCACCGGAACGCTTTTTTCTTCAACCCGCAACATCTCCAGATGCATAGCGCGACGGGAGCGGCACGGTGATGCGACCTCTGGCAAGCCGGCACTGCCACTACTGGCACATCTATCAGGCCCTTTCCCCAGCCCATCCCAGCCAGGAGACATCACAACCCCCCACGGCAGCCTGCTCCGAGAAACCAACCCAACCCCCGCCTCCTCGACGAAACGAGCATTCCAGCCCCGTCCTCCTGCCGCTGTACACCGAGACCGGCGCACAGCTCTTTCACGCGTATTATTCCAAAATTCCCCACCACTCTCCCCCCCTGCACTTCCCCCCCTCAAAACCCCGCACATCAGCCGGGGCCACAGCCCCTGCGCCGTGTCCCCTTCCTTCTCCCCCCGCCCTTTCCCCCTCCCTCCCCCAATCTCGCCGCAACACCCGTACACAGCCGCGGCTGCAGCTCTCCTCAACCATCGTGCTCGCCAACGTCTTGGATTTGAAAGCTCTGCAGGCTGTTCGCGAGCATGGTTGCCTTCTGTTCCTTGGCACGTCGCATCTCAGCCAGCGTCAGTGGCGTGCGCTCTTGCAGCTGGATGAACCGGTACTCCGCCTCCAACTTGGCTTGGGCGCGCATGCCATCATACAGCCGTGTCTCCGCGGTCTTGAGAGTGGCCTGCGCGCCGCCCAACAAGCGAGCTTGAGCTTCCCGTACGGCCATGGCTAAGCTGGCCGATAGCTCAATGCCGGACTCTAGACGAAGCCTGCGGACGGTTGGTAGTTGGGGTGGTTGGTAGGTAGGTACGTACGCATTTTTCAATGTTGGTTAGGTATAGGAGGTGGATAAGTGAGGGCTAATAGTAGTGGTGAAATGTAGGTAGGTAGGTATGAATGTATGTATGTATATATTGGTCGTAGTATGAGACGAAGGGACAGGACGTAGGGAGTTTGAGGCGGAGAAGGACACCCCGGGGTGGTTGGTGGTTGCGATGGTGGTTGTAATGATAGTTGTTACGGTAGTTGTAATGGAGAGATTATACATGAAAGGGCAACGCAATCTGTAACAGGTTTTCTAGAATGTTGTACGTGTCGGCGTAAAAAAGAACACAATGCGGATGTGGGTAAAGCCGTACGCTCGTACCTGTCTGGTGCTGTTGGTTGAATGCCCTCAGCTTCAAAGTCAGCCTGGATTGAGCGCCACACACCCCCCTGTCGGAACTTGGCGTACTTTTCAACCGCCGCCAGTACGGCATGGTCTCGTTGGTCCAGATAGGAGCACGAGTCGAAGCCGATGAGCTTGAAGATGCCGTAGATCTTGGCAAGGACGACTTCGCCGTTAAGGTGGTCCATCACCATCTGCAAATATTATGAAATTCAAATCGGATATATTGGACTTTTTTGGATCCAAATTTTATTTGTTTCTTTTTTACTTTAATTAGATTCATTTATATCATTTATCCATGCCCAACATGTATTGTTTTGGGTTCATGGTGATGTTCATGTCATCATGTATTTTTAAGGAAGGTAGGGAAGGAAGCTTTTTTTTACAGACTTGGCAATTTATTTTCTACTTCACTTTAAGTGCTTTTTTCAGGTTGGGAAGAAGGCTGCTTCAGATGCATCGTCCTACAACAAGTGCGGTGTCCCCACAGGGCCAGCCCGAGTTACAGCCTCATCCGCAAAGTCGCATCCCCTTCCCTTCCCCCTCCCGCCTTTCCTCCCCCTCCCCCCGGGGCTTCACACTTTCGGCTCCATATCGTGGTCCGAAGACTCTTCCGTACCTCTTCCAGCACTCTTCCATCACTCTTCCGTCACTCTTCCGTCACTCTCCCATCACTCTTCCGTACCTCTTCCGTACCTCTTCCATACCTCTTCCGTACCTCTTCCCCGAACCCTCCGCATCTCCCCCGTCCCATTTGACACGCACCTCAACGACCTCCTTCTTGGCGGAACTCATGTTGCCGTACGCCACGTTCTCCGGCGGCAGCCACCTCGTACGCCTCTCCAAGCCCGCCAGTGGGTTAGCGGGGTTGGCCAGCAGGCCGTCCCCTCCCGACATGCCACGAAGCGTGTCTTCCTCCTGAAGGAAGGGGGAGAGGGTTTCACACGGCGAGGGGGGGGGGATAAAGGGGTTTACGGGGGGGTACGAGGATTTGTCCAAACAACTACCGCCACCAACGCCCAACTACCGCACCAACTGCCGTAGCAATCCAGAGTCACAGCCGAGTCGAGTCCCCGGGGACATGAAGAGGAGACACGACACGGCACGCTCCCTGACCCACACACCATCCAAATGCTCAGCAGCAGATGCGCCGCGGACTTCTTGTCGACGTCCGACATCCACTCGTGGAAGAAGGTGTGGCTGCGGGGGTTCTCCAGCAGGTCCGACAGCAGCCGTAAAGCCACGGGCCTGTGTGTGGGGGG